CAATAGTCTACACTCAATTGAAAACCTATCTATTTCACGGTTAGTTTTGTGCCATGCCAACAAACGAATATCACTCTACGTGGTTTCTGTGATGCATCTCAAAACGCCATTGGGGCCTGTATCTATGTACGTTCGAAAACAGTCGACTCTAAGGACTCATGGACAACTGCACTATTTACTTCAAGATCTCGAGTAGCACCTATTCACACCACAACAATACCAAGATTGGGGAACTCAACGGTGCAACAATATTAGTTGACCTGATGACGGAAGTTCGAAAGGAGTTCAAAGCACTCAACATACTTATATCAAACGACAATGTAAATTTATGGACAGATTCTACAATTGTGTTATCATGGATCAACACAGATATACCTTTAAAATGTACGTTGCCAATCGAATAACACAAGTTCATGAGTCTTCTACTATTGCACAATGGAGATATGTACCGTCACAAGATAACCTTGCTGACCTTATAACTCGAGGAACATCTGCACAGTCATTAGAATCTTCAACTTTGTGGTGGAAAGGACCACAGTGGTTAACACAAAATAGTAATCATTGGCCTGCAGGTGTTGAGTATGCAGTCAGTATTCCCGAAGTTCGTACTATCAAACCTGTCCTGACATCCTGACAGTCACCCAGTGTCACAGTGTAGATTCATCAAACGATAACAATCTGTTAAATCAATAATCAAGTTGGACAAAACTCATTCGAATAACCGCATATGTTCAAAAATTTTGTAAAAATTCTAAAGTTGCGAAAACTTAAAGGACCATCGATCATCTCCATGCATTCGAACTTAAGACAGCCAAGGAAGCTTGGGTAAGAATTGCTCAACAAGACACATTCAAATCTGAGATAACATGTCTAGAACACGGCAACCAATTATCTCGGCGAAGTAAACTCATTGGCTTAAGTCCTTTTCTTGAAAACGGCCTCATCAGAGTTGGAGGAAGGCTACAACTATCGCAGCTACTTGCCAATCAACGACATCCTGCAGTGTTGCCAAAAGCGCATCGTGTAACTCAACTNGACAAGACTTAAAATTAAACTTAAGTTACGGAAGTCCGGTGACGATGGTGATCAGCCGCAGACGTGAACTACTCTAGACGACCTGGGCGGCCTCTCACACAACGATTAGTTGCTGGCGGACTTACGCAACGGAAGACTTAATCGCTGACGCAAAAGGGGGCCTGACAGCTGCGATAATGTGACRCCCAATACTCGGTAGACAGATTGGCGTCTAGCGGTTAATGGGGCTTCACAATGAAGAGACGAAACAACAAGTAATTGGTGTAGGTTATTAAAACCCGGTTATTATATATATGCGCTTAATGCGACTTATCGTCACAACAAATTATACATATGCGCTTAATGCGACTTACAATAAAACATTGAACGAAGTATAATGTAAACAAAATACGAAGTCGCTGCAATAGCGGAAGAAAAATACAACTTACGTACAAAAAAKTATTTGTTGTCGCTTTAATAGCGAACAAACACGACGGCAAAAAACGACACAACGGCAGACAGTTTGACGCCAACAACAACAATAATGAACATATAAACAAGGGCGTTGGCCGTATAAAAGAAAAAAAACAATAATGATAATAAATATGACAAGAACAAAGACAATAAAAATCAGTAATACGAAAGATATGCAAAATACGATAATAAACATATAGGGCAACGGGCCGACTAATAATTAAATAACATAATAGTAAACAAAGAGAATAAATACCTAGATAGTATAATAATATTAATAATTACACAATTAAAACATAACGGACGGAGTGGAGTGAAGGAGACGGGGAAGACGTAATTAGGACGGTTTCGTCAACCATATCGACGTGACGATAAGCGATTAGCTTTCTGTTCTGTTGAAATACCCACTGTATTTCAACGAGGGGGAGTATGTTGGCGCTACATAAATAATTTGAACTTCCCTCCCAATTAAAGGCAGTTAGGTCATCCTGATTGTTATCACACTGGTTATTAACTACAGTTATATTGTATACGTTATCAAAATCAATAATTTTCTAAAATCTTGTTGAAAACTTCAAGTATCTTTCTAACGATCTTTTCAGTACATCGTTCAGCTTTTACTTCTTTTTCGTTTCTGCACCGCGGTTGCATCAACATTGCTTTTCGTGTGTTGTGCATCCTGTCTACAAAAGGTTCAACACGGTTTTTTTGTATTGTTCATGACTTGCTGTTCATCAATTTATAGTATTATCACGCTCTAACCATTTTGGCCTCTGATCTTATTATATTACTAATTTGTGGTAAATATCGTTCGTTTCTAATCATTATTCATTTTTTTATATGATCTGTTCCTACTTTAGGGTTTATTTTGATTTGTCGTTTCACGTGGTTATTTCGCTTTCTTGTGTGTTGCCAATCGGTATTATATTGCATGCCAGTTTTTCTAATGTTATTCAGGGTAAGCTGGTGCACCAAGCACCATTCAATTAATTGTATACATGTATAAGTCTGATTATTATTATTGTACTTATTGTTACAACAATCTTTATTATTACAATATTTTAAAATATACAGTCCACTATTCACTATTTTTAGTGTTTAATAATTTACCTTTATCTTTATAAGAAACAGGCAAGCTTGCTATAGCTGCAAGCTCCTGTGTTCTCAACAATATGTATTATTTATTTAAATGCCTACATAAATAATACTTTTTCTAATTATTTTTAATTTATTCACCCAAGTCTATAAGTAAATTAAATTTTTAATTATCATCACATAATACAAATATCTTGTCAAATTAATAAATTAAAAATGATTTGACTTTCAAATTCAAATCCAAAAAATACCATAAATATCAATAGATGCAAAATAAAAATTAGTTATTTAGAAGATTTAGATTTGTATTGTATGTTGTTGAAACACATTTTTAGTTATGCAAGTTAACAACTTTCAAACCCTAGTTATTAAGATATCATTATTATATTTTAGATATAAATTATATCATATAGGTAATAATGTT